TGTCCTGGAAGAAGTGCAGCCAGAATGCTCCTTTGAAGCGAGAATGGCCAGACTTTGTCTCACCTACATTGGTCATGTAGTAAAAAAGGCACCAGTCCCTGGAGAAGAACAGCATGCTTGATAAAGTAGAGGGTTAGCAAAAAAGGGGAAGACCCTCAACAAGATGGATTGAAATAGTGGCTGCAGTGATGGGGTCAAGCATAACAGAGATTGTGAAGATGGCACAAGGACTGGGCAGTTTTTCATTGGAGCCAACTTAATGGCAGCTAACAACAACAAGAACAAGTCCAACAACGACGTCTTCCTACAGTAATGGAACAAACTACTGTTTATCCTCTTGAACGACAGGTAAAGAAGCCATGCATTTAAGAAACAGACACAAAAATTTAACTGTTTACTATTTATACTCAGTGTGATAAGATGGTCATATTATGAAAAAAACACTCAAGATCTGAGACAGACTGGGGACATAGCAAATCTAAACTTCCCATCCCACACACACTCTCTCCCTATGAATTTTTTTTTTCCACTCTGTAATTTTAAAAATCCTTTTGAAGAATTATAATAAAGAAATCAAGTTTTTAAAGTATTTCACAATTTCAATGAATAGAGTTTTTTCTTAGTTTTTTATTTTAAATGTACTGGCTGGGTTCTCTAGAGGAGAAAAACTAGTGAAGCATATATATACTGAGTTTTATTTCAAAGAAATAGCTCATACAGTTGTAAAGGCTGGCAAGTCCCAAATCTGTGGGTCAGGCTGGAGGCTTCCCCTGACTTTACGTGGTTACAAGAACTGACAAACCCAAAATATGCAGATCAGGTGGAAAGCTGCTGGCTCACGTCTCAAGAATGAGAGGTCAGAGGATGACAAGTCGGAGGCAGGACTAAGAGAGGGCAAGCTTTCTCAGAACCACCATAAATAGTGGATGCAAACTGCATGCCAAGGAAACTTCCCTTTCAACTGACTGGCTGCTCACATCAGATCACAAAATGGAGGATGATTACATAATACCTTCCAAACCACTGAGGAGATCCATGGCCTAGCCAAGTTGACATATCATGGGTAATAAGAGAAATACTTTAAATTTCTCTTTTTTAAGAAAGGGCTTTTTACTTTTAGAAATCTCTGTATTTTATTTTGTCAGTGAGTCAGTGTGTCTAAAATAAAGGTTTTCCAACCATTGGTTAGGCTGCTCTCCTTACCTGGAGCAGAAACTTTCTACCTATTATCAAGTTCACCTTCCTTTCATTCTCGAAAGTCCTACAGAAATACACATCCCAGAGGTCACTGATGACATGTCCGACTAATCTCTATTATGTGTAGTTGCTGCTGATTATCATCCCCTTGAAACTCTGTCCTCTCTTGCTTTCCTAATACTATACCATCTTCATTATTTTTTTGCTTATTTGCTACTCCTCTTCTTCTGTCAACTAGTCTTTCTTTCTAAATGTGGCCATTCTCCAAGGTTTGGTGACCTGAATATTCCCTCTCCCTCATTTAGTCTATCAGTATGAGATATCACCTCTGTGTTGATAGCTATCAAATATCAAATATCCCTTTTCAATTCTGTTTTCTCACCAAAGCTCTGGTTACACAACTTTAGCATTTATTGAATATTTCTAAATGGATATCCTCTGTAACCTCAAATTTAATAATTCAAACACTATCACTCATCATTCTTCTTCCTGAATGGGCTCTACCTTCCAATTTCTATTTCACTCAATGGCATGAAAGAACATCCCAATCTTCTCAGCTAAAAAGATCAGAATCCCTGTGGCTCATCTCTTCTATGTCTGAATAGGCTAATAGGATATGATGTGGCTTTTGATCAGACAGATTTAAAAGTTAATCTCAGGACTGTTACTTGTGTGATCTTGGATTAGTTACTCTCTGAGCCTAAATCGGCATCTATAAAATGAGATTAATAATACCTATCTCATAGGATTGTTAGGATCAAATTACCTACCAACCAAACTCACCACCATCGAACTGATTCCAACTCATACTGACCCCCATTAGGTTTCCAAGGCTATAATTCTTTACAGAAACAGACTGCCTCATCTTTTTTCACAGAGCAACCGGTGGGTTCAAACCACCAACCTTTTGGTTAGCAGCCAAATGCCTTAACACTATACCACCAGAGCTCCTTATACAACCTACAGTGAATGTGAAATACAGTGGGCAGGCAATAGCCCCTGTTTTATCCAGTCAGTGATTAAATTTTGTCTCTTCTTCCTTTGAAGCCTTCTCACATGTATCCCTATTCCCAATTCTAACTTTTAGTCATGCCTGGATTATTCTAACAACCTCTTTGTTGTTGGCCTTTAATCTAGCCTCTTCAACCTGTCCTTCATACTGCTGTCAAAATAATCTTAAAAATGTGTTTTATCATACTGAATTCTTCAGTGTAGTAAATTACATAGTTTGGTAAGTCTTTGTAAACTCTGTGGTGGAATTTGCTGTGAGCAACTGAGTAGCTCCTGATTGTTAAAGTCATCCACCTGGGGTATTTCTGTTGGGAGCAGCACGAAGTAATCTTCTGAGAAGTTCTCTCTCTCTCACATGTATAGAATTCTGATATTGGGATTAGTTAGTTTGGCCACTCTGCCAGGCTCAAAAGGAGCCCTCCTGGAGGCAAAAGAAATCTCTCACTGCCATCTGAGAGATGCAAGAGACACACACTGCTGAGAGAGAGATGTACTGCTGGGAGGGAGACTATCAGCTGACAGACAGTGCGCTGAGAAAGACTGAGCGTGTTCTGAACTTGAATTGTAGCTTGTTGCTTCCCTAATAAACCCCATAATCTGTGAGTTCTGTGTAGTCACTTCAGGGAATTATCAAACCCAACAGAGAGGTAGTGCTGTGGGAGGAACGGTTGATGCCAGGGTTGGTGAAAGGGCTGGAGGGAGGCAGCATGTCTGGCCTTGCAGGCCTTAGGTTACTGATGATGTCTTCTTCTTGTGGGGTTAGAGGAGGTCGGAAGATGCGGCCTCCTTGCCCTTTGGCGCATTCTTACTAATAAAATCTTCAACCACTCCTTGTTGTTGATAGGTACCATCAAGTAGATTTTGACTCATAGCAACCCTATAAGACTGAGTAGAACTGCCCTATAGGGTTTCCTAGGCTGAGAGCAGATCAACAGGTCTTTTCTCCTATGGAGTGCCTGGTGGATTTGAATCACCAACCTTTCAGTTAGCAGCTGAGCACTTAACCATAATGCCACAAGAGCCCCTTTAGCAGCTTCTTATATCCTACCAATCAAGTTTTGTTCGGCCTTCAAAAATGTTTAAAATCTACTACTTCTCATTACAAATAGCAAACAACCAACCAACGTAGCTGTCAAGTTGACTCTGACTTAGTACAACCCTACAGGACAGAGCAGAAGTGCCCCACAGGGTTTCCAGAAACTGAATGCTACATCTTTCTCCAAGGAGTGGCTGGTGGTTTCAAACAGTTAACCTCTCGGTTAGCAGCTGAATGCTTTAACCACTGTGCTACCAGGGCTTCTTATCACAAATATACCTTGGGTAAATTAGCCTGTTCACTGTCCTACACGTATACACCAAACTTTTTCCTGCCACTGCGCTGCAGCTCAGGTTGTTCCTTCTCTCTACTTTCATTAATAGTCCTTCCTGACCACAGTTGTACTTAGAATCTATACCAAGTACAACTTATTTATGTCTTATACAAAAAAAAAAAAAATTCACTGCCATCAAGTCGAATCCAATTCATAGCAACCCCTCCCTAACTTTCCAAGGCAGTATCTCTACGGAAGTTCATTGCCCAGTTTCGCTTCTGAGGAGTGGCTGGAGGGTTTGAACTGCCAACCTTCTGGTTACCAGTCAAATGCCTTAGTCACTATGCCACCAGAGCTCCTCTTATGTCTTATACAGGTCTTCATTTCTCTTTTTGTTCAATTTATGTGACTCCTCTTTCCCTACTTTGGTAGTTTGTATGTAATCAAGCACACAAAACTTCAGTGGATTAAAAGAATGGGAAAAAAGAGAATTACTGCCAGATATTCTGATTTGCCATACTTGAGTACAGGCTGTCTCTAACTTATGGCATATTCAAGTTACAATGAACAGCATTTACAACTGTCTGTTGGTTTTTTTGGTACACCTTACCTTTAGTAATATGTACTACATATAACATTGCAGTGCATAATTTTCTGAAGTTATCATTTTCAGATGTTCACTTACAGATATTCAAAGATTGGATTTATAAAGATACCAATAATAAAAGGCAATAATTATGAACACTAAAAAGAAAATGAGGTATTCGACATACATCAGAACCGACATGACAGAGTCATCAGGATAGAACCCCATCGTAAGTCAGAGACTACCTATATGTAAAAGCTTAAAAATTTACATTATTATTGTTTATGGTGTCAGTTTTATCAGCCCAATTAAAGGGGAGCTTCTTGAAAACAAAGGCAAATGATTAATTTTTTCTGTACCCTCAGAAAATCTAACACATCATTAGCCATTTAGTCTAACTGATAATACATGCTGATTGTATATAACTGATGAAGTTCTTTAAAGCAAAAACCTTACTATTTCTTTACTTTGAATAATAGAGAGCAGTCATTTTCAAGGCAAGGTATCTATCTATTCCCTACAGGGGAATTTTTCTCTAATTCTGGTGTTCTTTCCTAGTGGGGACGCTTCCCTCCTTCCTACTTTCTTCTCCCAGGGAAGAGTCCTACTATACTAAGCCACTGTGGTTGATGAGCCTGTGTGAGTGGTTAGTAGGCACAGATGAAATGTTTTTAAAAATGGCACAATAGGGTTTTACTCAAGATCAGAAGTAAAATAACTTTCAGCATCTTCTATTGACAAAATACTCAATACACCTACCATAATCAGCTGGTGTATAATTCAGAAGTTCAAAGTTCCAGTGTTTATAGCAGGAATAATTCTGGTACATGTCAAATATTTCCTGTGTAAATTGTTGGCAGATATCACCTAAAGGGAAATAAAAACAATATTCAGTCAACACAAGCTTTTAAGAGAGCTATCTATAGATCAAGGCCTTCTGGAAATGAGGAGTAACTGTTTTCAGCACAACTAGAAGAATGTGATCAATGCCACTAAATGGTACACGTAGAAACTGCTGAATTGATGTACATTTTGCTGTGTACATTAGCAACAACAACAAAAAAAAACTAGACAGGAATTATTACAAATAAAAGTTAATTAAATTTAAAAAAAATTATTTTACTGACCTCCAGTAGTTCTTCCAGATGTTACTTCTAAAATCACATCATTTTTGTCATATTTCTCCTTTGGCACTAAACTCTGGAAAAGCTGAAAAGAAAAAACTACCAGTATTGGTGTGTATACTTTCCTTGTTATACTATTTTTTATGAGACCTGGTAGTGCAGTGATTAAAGCACTTGGCTGCTAACCAATAAGGTTGGCAGTTCGAACCCACCAGCCATTCCACGCAAGAAGGATGTGGCAGTCTGCTTTCTGTAAAGATTTACAACCTTGGAAACCCTATAGGGCAGTTTTTCTCTGTTCTATAGGATCACTATGAGTTGGAATCAACTTGAAAGCAGTGAGTTTGGTTTTCTGGTGATACTACTTATTACTTGAAGTTAGTTTGTTTTTCTGGTGATACTATTTATTACTTGAACTACGTAAAAGATCCCAAAACATTAAGAAATTAATAATTAACAAAATGATATAACACCGTAATGAGGTCCAGTCCTAAAATACTATTACACATATGATATTAGACCTGAAATAAATGCTCAATTCATGTTAACAATGAAGTTACTTGTCAGGATATTCTCTTCAATGCTTGTATTACCTTAATTTTCTTAAATGCACAAGTATAACAAAGTACAAAGTGTTCTATTCAATATTCTTCAGACTTTGCCACTGATAATTACTTCTAAACACTAGCTCCTTTCATCTAAATAAATTCTGAACATCTTCATTTTGGGAAAAGACTTTTAATAATACCATTGTTTGTTCTCTTTTGCCATAAATGACAGCAGATACCACGTCATGCTTTGCCTTTTCCATAGACTCAGTGTTTTTAATGGTATGTTGAGGATACCCAAATTAAGCTCAAACAGTTTCTCAGGGGAAACAAAGGGGAGATTTCCTAATAAGGAAAGTAACTAATTTTCATTTTAGGAAAAGAAAGGATTTTATTATTACTAAAAGGTCTTTCAAATCAAACTAAAAGCACCTACATGTCCTGTCACTCCCTAAAACAAAAAACCAGCTGCCATCGAGCTGATTCTGACTCATGGTGACCCATGTGCGTCAGAGTAGAACCATGCTCCATGAAGTTCTCCACGGCTCCTTTTCAGATGGAGATCGCCAAGCTCCTCTTCCACTTCCTTGAAGTGGATTCAAACTCCCAACCTTTCAGTTAGCAGCTGAGCAGATAACCACTTGTGTCACCCAGGGACTCCCTGCCTCTCCCTATTGCCTTTAAAAATAAATAAATAAATACTCTACCTGCTGGAAATTCTATAGCCTATGGGAGAGAATACTAGACTAAGAGTCAGACATCCTGCTTCTGCCTTTGATTAGCTGGCTAAATCAGTGATAAAAAGAAATGAAACCTTCATTTCACCATTCCCTAGCCCATCACAACCCCTCACCTGGATTTCCTGAGTAGTGAAGACTAAAGGAAGGAGGATGACAAACTGGTATATAGTACCATGTTCTTCACTGTCTTTGTAGATAAGCCATACTTTGAACAAGAAGGACAAGAAACTATCATCAAAAGAAAAAAAAATTTGCATTTACTTGTCTAGGAGATATGAGAAGTGAATTTCTGTTTCAGCATAGCTGGTCACACTAGCTGACACTAATAAAGTATCATGAACCTGAGACTCCCTAATACGCCAGACACTTACTTATTAGGTGTCCTGGAGTTGATTCTGACCAACAGCAACCTCATGTGATAGAGTGGAACTTCCCCGTAGGGTTTTCTTGGCTATAATCATTATGAAGGGAGCTCTGGTAGCATAGTGGCTAAGGCACTTGACTGCTCACCAGATGGCTGGCGGTTCAAACCCATCAGCCACTCCTCGGAAGGAAGGTTGGGCAATCCTACTTCTGCAGTGATACTGCCTCGGAAACCCAAGGAGGGGTCGCTATGAGTCAGGGCTGACTCGACGGCACATAACAACAACAACAATCATTATGAAAGCCAGATTTTTCTCCCATAGAGCTACTGAGTGGGTTGAGACCCTTACTAGACACAGCTAAAAAGTGTGTGTTAACCAATTGTGTCTATACCTATGAATTCATTCCATTCTATCCAGAGTGCAAATTTTCAATCATAACCATGAACTCCACCTTTCTAGCACTTACAAACCTGATTTTTTCTCCCATGGGGAAGTAAATTTTTTCACTGATAAGTATTCCCTTACCTGCCAATTTAACAGACTCAGCTTTGGAATCTGTCTTCAGCTCTCAGGGTCTTTATTTTATTCTTTGAAATCACCATCTCTCCTATCTCATTTAACAAATTACATCACTGAGTCCAGCTTAATCACTTATTACAAAAAAAAGCACATCAGTTACCACCGAGTCAATTCCAACTCATGGTAACCCCATGTGGGTCAGCGTAGAACTGTGCTCCATAAGGATGTCATGGCTGTGACCTTTTGGAAGTAGATCATTGAGCTTTTCTTCCAAGGTGGCTCTGACTGGGCTTGAACTGCAAACCTTCCAGGTAACAGATGCAAAGTCTTAATAAGCTGGTGTCCAGAAAGTATTTTGAGCACCAAAGCAGTTTAGCAAGAACAATATTCACTTACTACAACAGAACGCTTAATAAGATGGTGTTTGGAAAGTACTTTGAGCACTAAAGCATTGTTTGACAAGAACAGTATCCCTTAACATTAACACTATTGAGATTAGGCTACCTCCTAAAACATACCTCATTGTACAACATGTTGATTTTTTCATTAATAGTTTGCCTTTCTTCTAGTGCAAGTTCTTGCAACTGCTTTTCATCTTGTTTATTTAGACCTAAAAACCAGAAACAGAAATAATGATAAAAGTTTTAAAACATTGATAAACTCTCAATAGCCATCTTATCTTTGCCTATTAAATTTTATTTCCATTGTGAAGGTGAGGTATTATGCAAAAAGAACAGTTAGAATAGTTGGAGGATGTTGATTAACAAGTATCTACTAAGCATATCCAAAAAATTCAATGTTTCAAATAATATGATCTCACCCCAAGGAGCAGTAGTAGTTCGAGCAATTTGAATGTCTATAATACTTATAGAAATCAATGATTAATTAAACAGAAGGTTCAAAACAAAACTGGTGAATGAAAACTATAAATGCAAATGAGATAAAGTTTGAGGCAAATTGGGGTGATTGCATCCTGTCTAAAGATGGTGGCCACTACCCAGTGCTCTGTGACGTGGGTCCAAAAGGGCTCAATATTCTAATTTTTCAAGAGAAGTCAGAAATAAGAAGTCTTAAAACCGTGAAATCTCTTACTTTTAGGTTACCAGTCAAGTACTTAACCACTGGTAACACCAGGGCTCTATATAGGGAATACACATTTTCGAATACCATTTGTGTCAAACAAAGGACATCTCTGCAACCTTTGTCTCATAGAAACAATAATCCTTTTCACATCATTTCAAAAGCAGAAAATTAAATCATGGACTTCTAACAGAGTAAGATAACAATGAGATAGTGGTCTAGTATGGCGGATTTCATGACCTTTGACTCCGTACCTTTAGATCCCTACAGACTTCATCTGTCACTGGCGATGGTTGCAAATTGAGGCAGAAATTTTTGATTCTTTATCATTATAAAGAAGATATTATAAAGGGAAATGAAGAGTCACAATTATAAAAGAGAGAAGGCTCTTTTCAATTCTTTTCTAGTCATGAGAGTCATTAGGGTTTGGTTGGATTCTGTGCCTTTCATATTTGCAATATTTAACATTTACTAACATTTACTATATGCTAGGGAGCTCTGGTAGCATAGTGCCTAAGGCACTTGACTGCTCACCAGAAGGCTGGCGGTTCAAACCCACCAGCCACTCCTCGGAAGGAAGGTTGGGCAATCCTACTTCCGTAGTGATACTGCCTCGGAAACCCAAGGAGGGGTCGCTATGAGTCGGGGCCGACTCGACGGCAAACAACAACAACAACAACAATATGCTAGAAATGGAGTCACTGGTTGGTGCAAACAGTTAAGTGCTCGATTATTAGCAGAAAGGTTGGGGGTTCGAACCCACCCAGAGATGCCTCAGAAGACAGGTCTGGTGATCTGCTTCTGAAAGGTAACAGCCTTGAAAACTCTATGGAGCAGTTCTACTCTGTACACATAGGAGATCCAGGGATTCCTGGCATATAACAAGCTCTCAGTAAATGTTGGTTGTATGAATGACAAAATGAATGACTGAATCACCCTTAACAAATTTCTGGAGATAAATTAAACTTCTCCATGAAATCTAGAGACAGTATTTAGATTTCCACTTTGAAACCCAAGGAGCCCTGGTGGCACAACGGTTAAGGGCTTAGCTGCTAAACCAGAAGGTCAGCCTTTCAAATCGTCCAGCAGTTCAAGTCAACCCACCTTCTGTGGGAGAAAGACCTGGTGATCTGCTACTCTGAAGATTTCTGAAACCCTCTGGGACAGTTCTCCTCTGTCCTACAGGGCTGCTATGGGAATCAACTCAACACAACATTAACCTCCAAATACTACAGTGGCAATCCAAGAATATACATACTCAGATTTTAAAAAGTTCAAGATCTGAAAATTAGGTGGAATAGGTTTTCCTGAACACTAGGATGTACTGTAAACTTCTGGAGAATGGGGACTTGTCTGAGTAAAGATGCTTGGTTTGCTGCTTAAAGGGAACTAACAGTGAAGACACTTAGGCTTATTATTTGATAATGGTGACCATGAATCATTCTATGGTTCTAAGAAATCTGTCAGCTGTTTGTCCTACAAATATTTTCATTCATTAAACATATGAAAATTTGACTAAAACTATACTTGGAATAAAAATTAAAGAACATTTCAAGGCATATAACATGAAACACAAAGCTCTGTTACTCAGCTAAAGCACAGTCTCATTCAGGTTTGTGACCACCCTGTCTGGTTTGACCATCTCTCCTATTTGCTTCTGTGGAACCCCATGCATTCCTCTAATAGCATATGTATAACACTATAAATACAGAAATAAGTATTTTTTAAAAAAATAGTCTCTGTCAGTAGACTATGTAAGCCCTTCGGCAGGCCAGAAAGTATATGTTTGTGTCCCCAGAAAGTATATGTTGTGTTCCTAGTACCTAGGACAGTGCTCAATTAAGGATTTTTGAATAAACTAAAGCTTCTGAAAAGGTTAATAATGATTTCACAGACCCTAAGACCTTCCTGGCATGTACCACAGAGTCCCATCATGTAGTAACTGAAATAAGTCAAACACACAGAGTATAGAGTCCTATCCTTCCAAAGTGTAGAGCTTGTTACTCAAGGGCTTTTCAAAAGATAGAGTTCAATAAAGCTTAACTCATAAAAGCAATACTGTACTTGCACACACATATGTATATCTTTTACCTACTTTTACACATTGACTCTAATTCTTCAATTGCTTGTTCAGCCTCTTGAATTTCTTGATAAATGACCGTTAGTGGTGCCAACTTGGCATACCTTTGGTTCAAGGACCTTCGATCTCCCTCATTCACAGAGATATGCTGTAAACACTGATCAAGTTTTTGGTACTCTTTGTTGAGGTCCTCCATATATTTGTGTAGTGCTTTATGTTTCCATAGCAGCCTGGTATCTCGATAACAGTACCTTCTGGACCAATTCTTACTGAACACAGAATGAAGAATGTAATTGCTGTTTTGTCTAAAAAGCCACATCTTTGTGTCAAGATGTGTTCGTCTAAACTGCTGAGAATGAAGGTGGATGTGACACTGGTAGTAACCTTTAAGAGATGGATGTCTAAAAAGCCAAACACACAGGTGACGATTCATCTCAGCATCTGAAATACAATAAACACAATCTGATAAAAATCATATCTATAGACATATGGTATAATAAAGCTGGATGGAGCTTCAAGAAAACACATTCAGTTCACTCCCTCAGCCAACTCTAAAAACAGTCACAAAATTCACCTACTCACAAAAAGCAAATATTTCTTCAATCCTCTAAGTAAAAAAAATTACAATAAATAATGATGGTACTGTTGTTGTTTTTACCTACCTAATCCTCAGAAGGAAGACTGGACAATCTATTTCCATAGAGATATCACCTTAGAAACCCAAGAAGTGGTCATAATGAGTCAGTGAGGTTTTTCGGGTTTTTTTTTAATATAAGTATAATTAACTAAGACAAATGAGTAAGAGTATAACTATCAAACTTATCAGAATGGGTTAAAAACAGCTATGTTCTACAAGATATTCAGAATCTAGGATTATGTACATGAACATGTACTTCAAAAGTATGAAATAATCATGTGAACTTCAGGTTATTCACACTTGGACAGATTTCTAATGCTTGAAAGAAAAATCAACTATTATCTTATTTAATTCTTTCATTTTAATCCAAAGCTGAATAGAAGCATAGTTGTTATTAGAATGCAGGTTGCCTATTCAGAGCTCAATGCTTTTCCTTACCTATTCAACAATTACTCTTCAAAAGTGGCTGCGCTTTCAACTGATACCCTAAAGGAAGAAAACTTCAAATATTAACCAAGTAAGGAGCTCTGGTAGCGTAGTGCCTAAGGCACTTGACTGCTAACCAGAAGGCTGGCAGTTCAAACCCACCAGCCACTCCTTGGAAGGAAGGTTGGG